TTGCTGTGAGGATGTGCCAAGCCGAGCAGGTGGCCGTATCCTAGAAGTGAATCCCCAGTCCCTGCATGGAAACTTCAGAGACGGCTTGGGTTCTGTACTTGGGGACAAGGGGTGGCTGGATGATGGTCAAAGTAAGAACCAGGGCAGCTTCTCCAGTGTTCTGAGGACATCGTAGTCCCCTGGATGGGTGAAAATCTGTGTGTGTGTGTGTGTGTGTGTGTGTGTGTGTGTGTGTGTGTGTGTGTGTGTGTGTGTGTGTATGGGGTGTCCTCAAGAATGAGCATTTGCCTAGGGTTAGGGGCTCTGAGTTAAGATAAAATGGATACTTCTGGTAAACTTGTTTGTGTATTATGAGCTATTTTTATTGTTCCTGGAAATAGTAGCTTTGTTTTTCTAGAATTACTTTATGTCCATCATTACATTGACTTCAGTTTCTCAGAACCTTTCACATACAAGCATTAACCTTTATTTAGCTCCAAGTCAGTGATTGACTGCCTGAACTTTTACTATGTCTTTTCACTTCTCTCTAATATTCTTATCTATTCATAACTTTTTTAAAAAAATCGTAGAAAATTTAGGAATCTATGCACAGATGTATAACTTTATATTTCAATTACTTGTGGACCTGAGGTTAAATATGTCTGCTTCTACTCAGGGTTAAATATTCTTTTATTATTCAGGGCTTTTTTTTTCAAAAGAATTGAAGGGTATTGTGGATTGAATTGCAGCCTCATAAAATGCATTTCTTGCCATTCTATCCCAGGAGCAGAGAACAAGACTTTAAGTAAGGGCATTGCAGATATAATTAGTTAGTATGTGGCCATACAGTAGTAAGTGGTCTCCTAATTAAAGGAGATTGGTGTCTTTACAAAAGGTGGAAATTTGACTGGGCACTAGTTGTTCATGCCTGTAATCTTAGTACTCAGGAGGCTGAGATCTGGAGAATCATTGTTCAAAGCCAGCTTAAGGAGAAAAGATTGTTAGACTTCATCTCTGTAACTAAGAAAAACAGAGCCAGGCTGGGAAGGTGGCTCAGTGGTAGAGTGTTTGCCTTGCATGCATGAGGCCCTGGGTTCGATTCCTCAGCACCATATAAGCAGACAAAGTTGGAAGTGGCACTGTGGCTCAAGTGGTAGCGCACTAGCCTTGAGCTGAAGACCTGAGGGACAGCGCCCAGGCCCAGAGTTCAGGCCCCAGGACCACTACCACCACCACCAACAAAAATCAGAGCCAGAGTCATGTCCCAATTGGTAGAATGCCAACCAAGTAAGTTCAAGGCCCTGAGTTCAAACACCAGTCAGGGATAGGAAGACAGTCATGCAAAGATGAAGGTAGAGTCCAGAGATTGTCGGCAAACCACCAGAAGTTTGAAAATAGACGTGGCATTAATTCTTCCTCACAACCTCGAGAGAAACCAAGCCCACAGCTCCCAGAAATGGCCAGCCAACAAATTCCTATTTCTTACGTCTTTCAGCTGGTAGGATCTCTCCAGCAGCTTTATACAGGGAGTCTCTCTACTCTCAATTATAGTCCCTTGGAGGTGGCTAGAAAGAATCTGTTCAAGGGAAAAGATTAATAAATGTCAAAATCTGTCTTGTGTAGGATAGAAGTAGAATGAGGCATTTGTTTTTAAAATTGAAATGTGACCAAGTAAGTTTGATGAACTAAATAGGAACTCTTGCCCCTTCCACTGGTAGGTAAGGTAAATGTTTAATGTGTTTGCTTCTGTTTATATAATACTTGTCCAAATCATCTTGCAAAGTCTCTAGCACAAGCAAGCCTTTTGTTTTTAAGTCCCTCCTTCCTCTGTGACATGACCTCTACAAGCCTTGGTGAGGCTTTGTTAATATTTCAGTAGCCTTTGAGTAGCACTGGAAAAAAAAATCTATCTTGCATTATCACTTGTTTGTGTGTATGTGTGTAGGTTGTGGAGGAAAGCAAAGAGCAGGAGCACAGATAATGTGAGTAGATAAATGAAATTGAATATGAACATGTATATTATACACTGGGCATCATGGCTCATGACTATCATCCCAGTTCCTTGAGAAGCAGAGAGAGGCAGATCATGAATCTGAGGTCAGGCTGGGTTAACAGGTGGCAAGATCTTTTCTCAGAAATAAAATACAAAACATTAAACTCCCGTCTCTGACTCTATACAAAATTCAACTCTAAATATCTCAGATCTTAATGAAAAGATTGAGTCTTGGGGACTCCTACAAGAAAAAATAAGGACAACTCTAGAAAACAGAGGCATAAGTAACTATTTTCTGAATAGGACTGCACTTGCCCCAAAAATTAGAGAAAAAAAGTGGGATAACATTCAAATAAAAAGGTTGTGCATAGTGAAAGAAATAACTAGAACCCAGAAGCAACATACAGAATGGGAGAAAATCCTCACAAGCTATTCAACAGATAAAAGACTGATAAATATCTAGAGTATACAAAGAATTAAAAAATTACACAGCAAAATTACATATAACTCAATTAATAGAAAGGCAATGATCAGATACTTCTCAGAAGAAGAAATGCAAATGGCTAACAGATGCATGAAGGAATGGTAAACATACATGTCATAAGGAAATGCAAATCAAAACTACACCAGGATTCCACTCACCCAGTCAGAAAACAAATAACAATAAATCCTAGTGAGGACATAGAAGATAGAAGTCTCTCCTACACTGTTGGTGGAAAGATAAACTCATGCAAGCACTATGGAAATCAGCATGGAGGTTCCTCAGAGGCTAAAAACAGACCTACCTTATGACCCTACTATATCCCTCTGAAAGAGTGCAAATCAGTATACAGGAGAGTGCGTACCCATATTTATTGCAGCTCTGTTCACAATGGCCAAAGTCATGGATAAAGAAAACCTGACATGTATGTCACAGAATATTCATGAACTTTAAAGAAAAATGAAATTTCTAGTTGCAAAAAAAAAAACAACTGGATGGAACTGGGGATCAACATGTTGAACAAGTTAAGTCAGGATCAAAAAACCAAATATCTCATATTTTCTTCATTTGTAAAATATAGACCTAAAAGATATACATAGGTATATACATATTGTAATTCTAGGGCTGTTTGGGGGAATAAGTGAAGAAAAAGTTACGAGAGTGATGGAGGATGAATACTATCAAAACGGCTGTGCCTGTATGAAGATGGCATAAGGAAACTCATTGATAGCTATTTAACAGCAGAACAGAGGGGGGGTAGAGAAAGAATAAGAGGTTAATCTGACTGCATGACATGCATGTGTGAAATGTCATGGTAGAACTCCTGTGCATAATTTATACTAAAAAATAAAAATACAAAAAAGAAAACTAGGCGCCAGTGGCTTATGCCTGTAATTCTAGCTACTCTGGAGGATGAGATCTGATGATCATAGTGCAAAGCCAGCCCGGGCAGCAAATATCCCTGAAACTCTTATCTCCAATTAACCACAAAAATGTGGAAGTGGATCTGTGGTAGAGCTCAAGGATTAGAACACTAGCCTTGAACAAAAGATCTCGGGGAAAGTACCCAGATCCCAAGTTCAAGACCCCAAGATCACACACTCAAAAGAAGATAGAAAGGAAGAAAGAAAGAAAGGAAGAAGGAGAAGAAGAAGGAGAAGGAGGAAAGGAAGGAAGGGAGGAAGGGAGGGAGGGAGGAAGGAAGGAAGGGAGGAAGGGAGGAAGAGAGGGAGGGAGGAAGGGAGGGAGGGAGGAAGGGAGGGAGGAAAGGAGGAAGGAAGGAGCCTTTGGGTTGATTATGAACGTGGAACACCCATGTTGCAAATTTTTTTTATTTAAATTTTTTTTTGTTGGTCGTGGGGCCTGAACTCTGGGCCTGGGCACTGTCCCTCAGCTCTTCAGCTCAAGGCTAGTGCTCTACCACTTGAGCCACAGCACCACTTCTGGCTTTTTCTGCTGATGTGGTGCTGAGGAATCGAACCCAGGGCCTCATGCACGCAAGGCAAGCAATCTACCACTGAGCCTCCCCAGACCCTGAAATTTATATTTTTATGAGAAACAGAGACCAGCCGAGTGCTGGTGACTCACATCTATAATTCTAACTACTCAGTGCGCTGAGACCTGAGGATTATGGTTCAAAGCCAGTCTGGACAGGAAGGTCTGTGTGACTCTTCAATTAACCCCAATCCTGGGTTTGAACTCAGGTCCTAGGAGCTGTCCCTGTACTATGTTGCTTAAGGTTGGTGCTCTACTACTTGAGCCACAGTTTAAGAGTCTGATGGACTTGAACCTCAAACCTCAAATCTTAGCCTCCAGCATAGCTAGTTTGGAAGTATTTGTACCTGGCAAACCAATGTCTTCTCTCCATTTAAGCTGGAAGTGGAGCTATGGTTCAAATAGTAGCGCTCTAGCCTTGAGTGGCAAAAGCTACAGGACAGCTTCAAGCCCAGCCCAAGATTAGAAAGCTCTGATCTCTCTGTCTGTCTGTCTCTCTCCTCCTTTTTTCTCCTTTCTCTTCTTTCCCCTTTGCTCAAGACACATGCAAATAAAAATCCGGTTTTCAGATTCAGCTGAACAAATACAGCACAACCTAGAAACGCAATGATACTGAGATAGTTTCATTTTTTTTCTGAACTTTGGAAGACTGTAGAAGGGGGTTACAGTTTAATGGTGCATCCATGTGTCCAGTGCTTCCTGTCCAGTCCTACTTCCCATCACTCCCTCCTATCCCATCTGCTCCCCCTGCAGCCCCAAATTCATTTCACATATGCATTGAAATCTTGATTTTCCTGTCCAACTTGCCGCTTCTCCAAATTATATTCTTTACAAGTTGTAGAGGTGTGATTTCAGTTCTCTTCCCAAAAGACCTTACTTGTTAGAAACAAATGAAATCAGCATTATTTTCTTCTTTCTCATCATGTATGAGGAAAGTTCTAGAAGCGATTTCCATACTTCATTGGTATCAATAGGAGGTTGCTTTACATCTCTAAGTTGATCTTTTAAAAAGAGCTTTTAAGGTATCACACCCTTAGAAGAACATATCTTTAGCTTGCAGTCTCTGAAGAAACTAAAGCAAAACTGCTTGATCAAGTGTGCTGGCTAGAGAAACAACTAGAGACTATAAGCCGGAAAGAAGCCAGAGAAGAGTCGTATGAAGAAATGGTACTTAAGAAGGACCAGGTAGGTATATTTTGGAGGAAAAAGAGCATCTTCACCACTTTAAAAGTTATCTAACTCGGGGCTGGGAAGGTGGCTCAGTGGTAGAGTGCTTGCCTTGCATGCATGAGGCCCTGGGTTCGATTCCTCAGCACCACATAAGCAGAAAAAGCTGGGAGTGGCGCTGAGGCTCAAGTGGTAGAGCGCTAGCCTTGAGCTGAAGAGCTGAGGGACAGCGCCCAGGCCCAGAGTTCAGGCCCCATGACTAGCAAAAGAAAAAGAAAAAAGTTGCCGAACTGTACATTAACTGACAATCCTGCAGAGCAATTTCTGGTGGGTTGAACATTAATATTTAATGAATGGGAGGGTATAATTCAATGGTGGAGCCATGTACAAGGCCATGGGTCAATCCCAGCACTACAGAGAGAGGGAGGGAGAAGGGAGAGGGAAGGGAGAAGAAAGAGAGAGAGAGAGAGAGAGAGGGGAAAGGAAAGGAAAGAAGGGAATAAGGAAGGGAGGGAGTTCATATTTATGTAAACAAAGAAAAATACAGCCTTTGTTATTTGCTAATTTCCTGGTGCATATTGATAGCAAATATTTAATTTTTTTGAAGTTTTTGAATAATGCACCCTTTTGAATAAAGGTAGTTGTCTACTCTACCTATTTTGCAAATGGTATTGACTGTAAATATTTTGAGCATGTATTTTTTGTTTTAGTTTTCAAGGTTGAACCTAATCAAACAATGTCTATGTAGTAAGACAAGTGGATCATAAAGTTTAGCTTCTAATTTTATCAATTATTTCATACAAAATTATGAATCTCTGCAGACTTTTATCTATAGAATGACATCAATTTTCTTCTTGTCTGACTCAAAGGGATTGTATCTGCTTTGGAGGCACATGGCTATGTTTCTGTGTTGAAGGTATCTACCAACATGTGTGTAAAAGGAGGGACATAGTGCCAATGGCAGCACATCAAGCTAACACTTCCCCGACTGCTTCCTCCTTCTTAACACATGTGTGTGTTTTATTGCCCTTGGGCTCCTCTGAAGAATGGAATGGGGCGAGGAATAGGAGAGATGATCTCGCAGTCATGATTTCTAACACATCTAGTTAAGATTCACAAGATTTGAGAACTAGCATACATTCATATCTGGAACATTTGGAGTATGTAAAAGGAAAATCTCTGCATTTGGTTCCTAAATGTTTCTCCCTTTTAGTGCATTGAGAAGCTGCAAGCTGAAGTAAAAGCTTCCCAGGAGCAACTTAAAGCCCATGTAAGTGTTTCCCTCCTTTCTTTCTTCCCATTATTTATATTATTGCTAAAGAGACGACTTGCTAGATGAGATCAATGAGACTTATCTGCTACCTACAAGTCTAAAATCATTATTTTTAACTGCATCTCTGTAAATAAACCTCAGATTTTTAATGATGGTAAAAATGACCAATCTGAGATCTTATGGTGTAACCATACCTATGCTGGGCTGACTTAGTGAGTACATGTGGGTAGAGAGAAGAGACAGACGCGACACATAGAAAGTAGGTCTAGAGCAGAACTTCTGAAGCACTGGTAGATGGAAGATGGGGTCATTTCCTAAAACAAATCCTGTGTCTCCTGTAAGCTGAGAGTAGGGCCTGAGAATGTTCACATCTAGGGGATGTGATACTAGAACTTCTAGTCTTTGGACACACTTTGAGTAGCACGTTTCATATATAATCATTCTACTTCAGTCTGGTAACTTGGGGGCAAATGATCGCATAAAGCAGAGTCTTAATTATCCATTCTCCTGCAAGTACTTTCTCAAGTTAGAACTTTGACAAATTCATTCACACTTCAGCCTGTCTGCACAAAGAACCACTAATGAGTATCTCCTGCACTGTGTATTCATTCATTCATTCTGTCTGTCTGTCTGCTGTCTATCTGTCCTTCTTTCTCTCTCTCTCTGGTGGTAACACCAGGACTTAAACTCAGGGTCTCTTACTCTTGCTGCACAGTTTTGGTCTAGCAATTGAGCCACAGCTCCACCTCTGGATATTTTAGCTGATTAATGGGAGAGAAGAGTCTTCTGGATGTGTTTTTATTTGTTTGTTTGTTTTTGGTCTGAGCTGATTTGGTCTGAGCTGCTATCCTCCAATCTCAGCCTCCTGAATATTTGGGATTACAGGTGTGAGCCACCAGCACCTGGCTCTTCAGTCTTTTAAAATCAATCACCCAGACACAACCTAATGTTTTAAAAGTTAAGTTTTCCTTTCAATTGTCTCCTCTATGTATGTCTTGGCCACTATGGGGTGAATTTGATTAAAGACCAACCTTTGATTAAAGGACCAGTCTTGATAACACCAAGTTCCCCAGATACATCTCAGATCTCAGAGGCTAGTCCAGGAAAGACACAGAAAAGGTGGCAATAGAATAAATCCTGGAAACAGACTGACCTGGGTCACATTTTGGGGGGGTCCCATTTTCATTTAGAGAAAAGCTAACCTACCATGGGCATGAACAGTTTGTAACTCTTTTAATAAATTCAAAATCTTTGAGCCCTTGTATATTCATTTAACCAATACTGAAAATGCCTTGCGCCCAAACTGGCACCCATTGTGATGTAGTCTAACCAAAATGCACCTTGCTACTTCAGAGTTCTGTTGCACCTGCCTGTTGCTCAGCCTGGTCTTGAGGTGACAGACAACATCTGTAGTCAGAGAATTGATGACAGATGACAGATGGCTTAGAGGAGGGTGTTAGCAGAGGACATTTGGAGGACAGCGCATGTTACCCCCACCACCTTTTCATGATAAGCAAATGGAAAACAGAATATCACTGGTGCTTGAGGGAGATTTCTACGATGTCCTCTTCCTCCTTGCCTAATTTTTCTGGATTCTTTGCTTCTTTCTTGTCACTGTCCCTGGCTTATCCGGACTGGGATTGTCTGAGTTCTTTGTGTGTGGGTTGTTGAGATATTTTTTATTGCAGTTGTCCTTTATTTAAGTGTCTTCATCAAGGTTTTGCTTCCATTCATGAATGAAAACAGTATTTCCCATAATGGGCATTGAGAGTGAACTGTATGTCTTCTTATATTATGGAAGGTACTTTTTAGAGTATTGACTTTTAAATCAAAAGAAAATGAAACAAAATGAGCATCATTCATTCATCAGAGTGGAAAAAAAAAATCCCTGCATCTCCAATAGGTTAGATCACTTGTCATACACCAAAACTCTTGATTTTGCTGTTGTAACTTGCTGCCTCTCCAGATTACAGCCTCTGTGAGCACCTGAGGTGTCAAATAGTTTCAGAAGGCTCTGCTTCTGATCTCCTTTTCTCCTCCATGTGTCCCATCACCACAGAGCCCTGTTGGCTAAAAAGAGAAGTGGTTAAAATCCGTGTGTAATGATTTGAAGTGAGGAATTGTGGTATTATGGCTCTGCGGTGCGTGCATAAGATAGCAAGATTTGATCCCTAAAACTGAAAAGAAAAAAAGTAAAAAAGATTTGAAGTGGACACAGAAAATCAAGCAGAAGCAAAAGTTGACAGTCACCAGAAGCGTGTGACCTACTGGAGTGTCAGAGAAAAGGGGATTAAGGGCTCAAGGGCATGGGAAGAGGACACTGTACTTGAAGTTTTCTGAGATAAGAGATTGAAATGTTCCTGGGAGATCTCAGAACGCTGAAAATTAAGACAGAAATCACAGGCCAGGCACCAGTGGCTCAGCGCTGTCATCCTAGCTGCTTAGAAGTAGAGAGAGGATTACAGTTTAAAGCGAGCCCATGCCAAACTCTCATGAGACTTTATTTACTTCCATTAGTATGTGACTGTCATCCCAGTTACAGGAGGATCACAGTCCAGCCCAGCCCAGGCAGAAGCAAAACCCTGTCTCAAATAGTATCAGAGCAAGAAGGGCTGGAGGTGTGGCTCAAGTAATAAAGCCCCCACCCAGCAAATGTGAAGGCCCCAGTTCCAGTGTGGAGATTGTAGCCTTATTAAATTTAACAGAGCTCCATGTACCCAAAATACTACATTTTGTTGACACTATCCATTTCTATATCCATCCCCAGTAGACGCTTAGGTCACTCGGACCAGTGCCAGTAGTGTGTGTGTGTGTGCACTGTATCAGGTACAGGGCTGCGAACATTGTAGCCACCCACGTTCTCTCGTCTACTCCTCCATTCATTCAACAAGGTATCTACTTTGTGTCAAGAACTAGATATGACTGAAGCCAAGTGCCAGAATTTAGAGAATTCAGCTAATAGAGTTGAATAAATGATAGGCAAGGAGGAGGGAGGGAAGGAGAGAGAGAGAGAGAGAGAGAGAGAGAGTGAGCATGGTGCATGCCTGGGGGGGGCAGTCCACCTCCTCACCCTGTGCAGTCTAGAGGACAGGAGAGGATGGAGAAGAGACAAAGACCTGCCCTGAACCTAGGGGTGTCCTCAGTGACTTCCAGCCCCTCCAATCAGCACCATCATCGAGGGTCAGCTGGTGTGGGGAGAGCCAAACACGATGCTGTGGCCAATGAGCAGTTAGACATGGACAGTCTGTCCGCTTTTCCCAGGTCATCTCATTTACTTCTCTGTGGCCACCTACCCACGTGGTGTGTGGCATCCTTGTCTATCACTCTCATTGACTGCTTTTTCCTGTCCTCCCGGCTAAACGTTTCTGATTCTTGATCAAGGACGGCCAATGTTCCCTTCCAGTCATCTCTCCTGCGTGGTGTTTACCCAGCACGTCTCTGTACCTCTTTGCCACTTGTCCCCTGCGTGGCCCATGCCAACACAGTGGGATGTGATCATCTCTTCTTCCAAACCTGAGTTCCTGCACAGCAGAGACCAAGTCTATTTTCATCTCTCCCTCTGTGTCTATACAGTTTCTAGTCCAGCGTTCATGGAACGATTTGTGTTGGCATAGCCAAATAGATGCGAACTTGGTAGCTCTGGGGAAATTACTTCCGGGAAGAACGGTGCTTCCTAAACTTGTCAGCCTTTCCAGTCCAAGGGATGCGAGATGTGGCCTTTCTGGATTGGAAAGGAAAGGAAGAGAAAGAAAATCCAGCTGTGGAAAACCCCTGTTGTAGGTGAAGTAAGAAAAGTGTCTGAAAGAATCATTGTCTTAACATGACAATTACCAGCCTAGTGTCTGGGCTTGCTCTTATTTGTTCATCTGCAGCTCAAATGTTGAATCATTTTATTGCATCATTACATTGATACCTGTGAAATGGAAAAGAGGCACAAGTCTTAACACTTCAGAGTTATCATTTGCTGGTATGTTGACGATTAAAATCTCAACCTGTTCACTGCTGTGCGTAGTCACAGCTTATGCGGAAAAGAAAAGAACAACACGCAGCTTCAATCAGAATTCCTCCTAGTGCACACAGGGACGTCCAGGCCAAGCCACCCACAGAGCTAAGCTGTCCCGGCATTTTCATTCCTCCTACTTGATTACTTTGCTGCTGAGAGGCTACACAGAATGAAACAAATATTTACCAAGTGTATTTGTAAGGATTTGAAAATAATTGTTCAGATCAGACAAATTTAAGTTAAGACTATCTGAAGGATGATTCCTTTCAGAATTGATGCTTTTATCTAGTGCCAGTGGTTCATGTCTGTAACCCTAGCTTCTCAGGAGGCAGAGATCTGAGGATCAAAGCTCAAAGCCAGCTTAGGCAGGAAAGTTCTAAGGCACTTATTAACAGTTAAGTACAAAAGAAAAAAATTGCTGGAAGTAGAGGTGTGGCTTAAGTTGCAGTGTGCTAGCCCTTCTCTTTTCTCTTTTTAAAAATTAGTTTTTAAGCTGGGCACCAGTGGCTCTTGCCTGAAATCCTAGCTACTCAGGAGGCTAAGATCTGAAGATTATGGTTCAAAGCCAGCCCTGGCAGGAAAGTTTGTGAGACTCCTATTTCCAATAAACCACTAGGAAACCGGAAGTGGCGCTGTAGCTCAAGCGGTAGAGTGCTCACCTTGAGCTGAAGAGCGCAGGGGCAGTGCCCAAGCCCAGAGTTCAAGCCCCATGACCGACCAAAAAAAAAATTAGTTTTTTATATAATTTAATTATACATATTTATTTATTCTAATGTCATAAAGGATTTGAGATAGCTTATTAGAAATTCACATCTAGAGTAGTTTAATTTTTAAGTACATTAATTGAGATCATATATACTGAAATAAAATGTCAATATCAAGAAAGAAGAGAATACGCATATAAATAACTTCTATTTAGTACAGTTGAAACAGAAGTATAACTTTTACTAACAGTCAAAATCAAAATAGAGACAATTATTTGATTAATAATTCT